GGATAACTCGCAAAGTATACATTTGTTCAAAATGGAACTTTGCATACAATTACCTCATATTGTGAGCCACTTTGTCTTAGAATTTCGGTTGTTTCCGCTTCTTAGTGCAAAAAAAGGAACAGGTTTTGGAAATTGAAAATTTTCAATTTTTGACCTTGACCTTTGTTGACCTTGACCTTTGTAGGATCAAACGTCATTGGCATTGGCTATCTATTTGTACTTTCATATTTGCTGTCCTATGTCAACTTCCGGTTTTATAGTCGTGTGCAATTAGAAATTTTGATGACGTATATCTCTTGATCTTGACCTTTTTAGACCTTCTCTTTTACAAGATCAAAGGTCATTGACCCTGGCTATCTGCTGATACTTTCATTTGTGAGGTCTGACGTCTACTTCCGGTATTAGAATCTTCTAGAAAATGAAAATTTCTCTACTTTAGACTGTTCTTGCGCTTGATCTAATTATCGGCGAAGGTTGATTTTTTCGGGGTCTTCTGCAATTTGCTACATTTGCAAAGTCCCACTCTGTGCCACGAGTGGCTCTAGTTTTTATTTTTATTGGGATTCGTCAAAAAAGCAGGTCGGCGGGCCCGTAATCCAAGTTTATAAATTGGTGTCGCCTAACTCATCGCAAAAACACAAATTTAAAATGACACATACTCTGTCCAACATCCTGATCTATCAGAAAAACTTAATCAGAATCCTATAATCCCTTCATTAGATAGAATAATTAACGAAAAATAACAGAGCATACTAAAAATCCCTTATACAAAATAACTTCCTTGATTGCTTAACATCCGGTCTTTTTTTGACAGAGTTATTGACATACGAAACTTCGCATCTTGCTGTAACTGCCCTAAGAGTTCTAAGAATGTTAATGCGCACAATTCTGTTTAGTTAATAAAGTTTATTGAAATTACAAATCGTTGAATAGAATGATTAGAATAACAAACAGGTAAGTATACTGCCATAGAAAACATCAAACTTGCTGTACATGTGTGTACGTGCGATTAACTGAAATATACAAATACAAATTTCTGTCAAAGTACAAGCATAAATCAATTAATAGATGACAAGATAGTAAGATGACAATACACAGTAATCTAGCCTACTGCTTATAATATGCTAATAATATGCTACTGCTAATAATATGACAAAGGCTTTTACAATAGATGTCACAATAACAAATGTAAACAAAAACAAGTTTACATTGTGATGTCAATTAATTAGCTGACAAAAGGCTTAAAATGCTTTTACTGCCAAGGAAAGCATGCCATGGAAAATTCTACTATGTCACGTGTCTAAGATCAACCTAATATTATGCACTCAAAGACGACCACAAAACGAAACAATACTGATGCCATGCTTGACTGATAACGATACATTAAAAATATGGAATCTCAAATGCACTATTTAGAAACGAAGAAAATAATAATAAAATGGCCATAACATTCCGGCCTCCTAATTGTATATAAATCACAATTACTAATACTATTTCAAAATGGCCATAATAACATACAAAATACAATTATGGATTAAGTCATGATGTTATTAAACATTACAATCTATAACTTTGTGTCTGCTTCTAAAAGTAAAACTAGTTTATCGATAGGTCGATCAAATTCACTGTTCTTAGATTTCACTTTAACAATTCTCACTAAACCAATTTGTCAGTTTTTACTTCTATTACCTTTCCTAAACACGAGGAATTTCTGGAAACTGTATTGTCCACTAATAATACAATATCATCTTTCTCTATGTTACGTTTCGGCATAAACCACTTCTGTCTCTCTTGAAGCATGGATATATACTCTTCACTCCAACGTTTCCAAAATATATCTGACAAGTATTGGATCTGTCTCCATTTTCTTCTAACATAATTATCAGTTTTCTGAAATGTTCCTAGGGGAAATGATCCAGAATTGTTTAACAATAACAAATTATTAGGAGTTCAAACACTTAAATCATTTGGGTCTTCTGAACAGAGTGTTAAAGGTCTGCTGTTTATGATATTCTCTATTTCACTGAATAAAGTTTGTAACGAATCATCATTTAAACGAATACACTGTTCCTTCATCAATGCAAATAATAACTTTCTAATTGTCCTAATTTGCCTTTCCCAAATTCCACCGAAATGGGAGGCGGTTGGAGGATTGAATTCCCACTTGATTGAGTCATTCAAAAATAAATGCTTAAGTTTCTGCTGATCTATTTTTCGAAATTCTGCCTTTAGTTCTTTGTTGGTTGAAATAAAATTTGAATCATTGTCAGATTTCATGATGCGAACTGGTCCTCGTCTATTTGTAAACCGTCTTATCGCGTTTACACATGAGTCCGTATCC